CTCTCTCTCTCTCTCTCTCTCTCTCTCTCTCTCCTCTACTGTAGTTACTTTTGCATTAGATTTAGTCATATTTATAATAAAATTTTTTAATATTTGATTCAATGGTTGAAATAAATATTGATTTAGTTTTGATTCAATCTAATAAATAAAAAGTAAAGCTCTTTATGAGTGCACTCATGAGCGATGAAACATATTGTATGTGTAATTAGAAATTGAAAGTATGGTAAATATTTATTGTTAAATGAATACAATGTTAATAACCCATATTCATTCAATGATCAATACTTACCACTTTTCAATTTCCAATTACATATATCATCATTAATATCCACTTTGAATTCTACAGAATTTTCCAAAAGTCTAAATGCAAATCGAAAACTATAAAGAGATTAATAACGAGTTTTGCACTCAAAAATTATTTAGACAATCGTCCAAAATAAAGACAGATGTATTAGAAATAAATTTTAATCAATATGCCTTCAATTTTGACTATTTGTATCAACTCTTAGCCATCGAGTGAGAGATAACTCAATTAATATTACACACAAATGGATTCAATTATATTTAAATTTTGTTCAATAAAATTACTTTATTCTGTGCAAAAGCATCCGTTTAGGTCTATAATACGAATTAGCGATACATGTATATGATTATAGCGGTATATATAGCGGTATATGACAGTTGTAGGCAAAACAAATATAAACGCTATTAAACTTTAAAAGTTTAAAATAACTTCAATTATATTATTAACAATTTAAAATCATAATTTAATTCATTAACTTTTATCAATAAAACATTATAATAGTTGTGATAAGCATTGAATCAATCAATTTGTGTCAAAACAATAGCCCCGTCTTTAGTGATACATAATGTGTGCTCGAATTGAGCGGTTCGGCAGTTGTCGTCCGTATATACAGTCCATCCATCGGTTCCATCGATGGCCACTGCCGGCTGGCCTTCAGTGATCACCGGTTCGATAGTTATACACATATTCTCTTTGAGTGTCTCAACGGAATCGCTTTTGTAGTGCAACACTTGCGGCGGTTCGTGAAGATTACTACCGATTCCGTGGCCGCAAAACTCCCGAATCACGTGAAAGCCGTACTCTTTGGCCGTTTTCTCAATCGTTTCGCCGATTGTCGACAGCTTTTGGCCGTCTCTACAGATCTTAATGGCTTCGAAGAGACAAAGTTGGGCCACATTTAAGAGATGCTGTGATTGTGGATCAGCGGCCGACTCGTCGCCAACGATGAAAGTGTGGGCACAATCGCCGTGAAAACCTGTTCGAAGACAACTTGTTTGAAATGCAATCAATGGCTTGTCGTTAAAGTGAACAAACCATTGAAGTAAATGCTGACATCAACAGTAATGATATCGCCGTCGACCAGAGGCCGACTATCGGGTATGCCGTGAACGGCAACGTTGTTCACAGAAGTGGTCACACATTTGGGGAACCCCTTGTAGTTGAGTGGCGATGGATAGCACTTATATGTCTGACATAACCTGATGGACATTATAGCACAAAATTAGTTGATAAAAGGCAAGTAATGGGAGAAAACAAGTGTTACACAACTCAAACACCATGTCATCGATGTCTTCGCCGGTGATTCCCGCCTATAGAGAGACACAACGAGTGATGCAAATAAATGGTCACCGCTTTGAAAGATAACGTGTTTTAGGGCTTACTGTCAATCGGTGTCCGACATCTGTGAGTATAGTTTTGGCGATTTTGCACGACTTGAAGATCGCCGCCAATTCGGGACCCGTTTTGATGCGATTGTATTGTTTGGACGGTTGGCCAGAATCGGCATAATCTGGTCGCTCGATGTCCGGCAGTAACACCCGTTGAACGGCCCGACACTCGTACGGCTCCACAATCTCGTAACGATGGCCACCGAAGGCCGCGAAAGTGGCCAAAGTTTTGCGGTCACACCTCTGGACCAGTTTTAGGCACTCATCCAATGAGTGGCCAATTCTCGGCGCCCGTAAAGCGGCGGCTCTTAAGCAACAAATCATTTGTTTATAAGTTTTGTGTCAAATAATTGTCTCCACTTTTGAATGCAAAACACTGTCTATAAAGTCATTCACCAATAGATGGCAATAGTGTTGCCGTTATATTCAATACAATATTCTATTATAAGTTGAGTTAATTTTTATAGTTTTTACGTTATTTATGAATCATTTCATCAGCTTTTAATGAATAAGTGCTGATCACGTGATCACTACATATTACACGCTATTTATGTGTTTATAAATAACGTACAAATTCTCAAAGTTTAATAAAGTTGTAATAAATTCTTGAATGTATTGCCAATAGATTTCATCACATGTTTATTAAA